AGAGAGAGAGAGAGAGAGAGAGAGAGAGAACAAAAGTAATATATGTTGTTATGCCTAATTGCTGAGAATTTATATTTAAAATGATGTATTATATACTGATTTTATAGCTAGTTTTGTATAAAACTTCCGACAATATAAGAAATATAATTAATATTTGTTGTTTTGGATAAAAATTATAGGGGTTTTCACCAGAAATATAATATTTATACAAATATACATTTATTCGTATAATAAAATTACATAGAATTAAATGTTTGGCTATAAATTAAATTTTTGAAATTTTTTTTTGACAAAATAATGTTAAGAATTGAGAAAATTAATTTAAATTTAAATCATAGATATAATAACTTACTGACCAAAAGGTTTGCCACAAAAAATATTCTATTACAAAAAGCGTAAAATTAACGAAACTAAAAGCAACAAACGTTTAAATTTTTACAAATTTTAATTTTATTTTATAAGTAAACCAACAAATGAAACACAAGAACTAAACAACAAAACAATTTATCCCTAAATATATAATAAGACAAATCAATAGTGAATTGCGTGAACAGTATATAAATCATAAGTTAATGAAAATCGTTATCAAAAATTAATAATAATAATAATTAAACATAAAAATAGTATTTCATTTTCAACGCACATATAAACGATGGGATGGTATGAGAGATGAGGTTAGGAATGGGAGGTATCGGAGCGGGCGATGGGCTTCTCATGTGTTTTATTTGTGGATAAAGTGTGGACTGAATCTTGAGATTTAGTTTTTACGATGAGTTGTTGAAAAGCGGCGTTTAATTTAATGTCATTAAAACAAACAAACAAATGGTTTATAATTAATTAATTTAAAAAATTTGACTAAAAATGTGACAATATATTTATGTGTTTTTCGCTCTTAATGTTTGTCACTTGTGTTTCGGTTAACAATAGATATCATTAGACATTATGTGTAACCGAAAGGTATTGTTGATTATGTGGTGAATGGCATTCAATATCAGTTGTTTTGTAATACAAAAGACAATTTGAATTAATATTTTGTATTGTTTTTGTAATTTTATAGTTAATTGGATTAGATTTCAATAGATTAGAGGACGGGTTATAAATTATTTGTTGAGCTCTCTATATGTCCGGCAAATATATATCTCGTTATTATTAATTAAATATTAAATTAAATATACTTTTAGACAATTGTTTTGTTTTGTAATATTGTTTAACATATGAATTAAATAAATGTCTAAAATATTTCAAATTATATTAAATTAATAATAACTTATTTACAATAAATATAGGAATAAAACAAAATTAGTTTTCAGTTTGAAAATCCCTTTAAAGTTATAAATAGTTTTATAAGTAAATAGTCTTTTGTGTTGTTTTTTGATTTGAAATCTTCTCACAATTCATTTGATTGATTGTATGATTGAATTCATTATTTCAATAGAAAAACGCGTTTAAAAAATATATAAATAAATAAATTTTTCTTATAAAAAATATTTCAATTATAAAATGAATTAAAAATTTATAATTTTATATTTTAGTTATAAATTTGTCAAAACGATTAGTTTCCCTGATCTTCGCTATCGCTCGTCGTATCTGCAAAATGAATGGCAAAAACTCATGAGTAAATCAATTCATTCAACAAAACAAGTGCATCATATTCTTCGGGACCTAATCAATGATAATTACCTCCTTTTTTGCCTAAATACTGGTGTTTCCTGAGCCGGTCGTAGAGGTCCTCTTTGGTGCCGTAAACTGAGGCCGGATTACTGATGCCCTGAAGAGTGGATCCGTTGCTCTTGCCATTATGCAAACTCTCCTTCATATACGTCTCGTTGTAGAAGTTAGGCATTTCCCAGCCGTCGTCCTCGTCGTCGTAATAGTGAGCGTACGTCGAGTGATGTGAGGGTGCGATGGACTCGGCGTACGGCGCGGGCGACCCGTAGTAGAAGTTTGGCTGCGGTCCGGGCGTCGGCGCAAAGTCCGTGGGTATGGTATGAACGGACATCTTTTTGGTGATCGGGCGCTGACCCGTGCGGACGCATATCATCCATATTAAGAGTACGATGAATATGATGAAGAAGACGATATAAATAAATAAATTTTTCTTATAAAAAATATTTCAATTATAAAATGAATTAAAAATTTATAATTTTATATTTTAGTTATAAATTTGTCAAAACGATTAGTTTCCCTGATCTTCGCTATCGCTCGTTGTATCTGCAAAATGAATGGCAAAAAAATCATCAGTAAATCAATTCATACAACAAAATCAATGTATAAAACAAGTGCATCATATTCTTCGGGACCTAATCAATGGTACGGACAAACAATAAGTGGATAATTACCTCCTTTTTTGCCTAAATACTGGTGTTTCCTGAGCCGGTCGTAGAGGTCCTCTTTGGTGCCGTAAACTGAGGCCGGATTACTGATGCCCTGAAGAGTGGATCCGTTGCTCTTCCCATTATGCAAACTCTCCTTCATATACGTCTCGTTATAGAAGTTAGGCATTTCCCAGCCGTCGTCCTCGTCGTCGTAATAGTGAGCGTACGTCGAGTGATGTGAGGGTGCGATGGACTCGGCGTACGGCGCGGGCGACCCGTAGTAGAAGTTTGGCTGCGGGCCGGGCGTCGGCGCGAAGTCCGTGGGTATGGTGTGAACGGACATCTTTTTGGTGATCGGGCGCTGACCCGTGCGGACGCATATCATCCATATTAAGAGTACGATGAATATGATGAAGAAGACGGAGGCGCCGATACCGCCGGCGATGTATATAAGCTCTGACTTGCGTTCGCAACGATCGCCGTAGAAGTTGATGAGACACTCGCAGCGCGGCCTCTTCATGCCCGGCGCCCATTCACACCGACCGCCGTTTATGCAGTAGTCGTCGCACACGTTCACACAGTGCGGGTAATTAACCTCTGCGGCTGTCATGATCTCTTTGAAGCCATCCTTACACACGCACCGGAAGTCTTCGCCCGAACCCGAGGGCGCTTCGCACTGGCTGTTGGGCGGACACAACTCCATCTTGTCGTTGATAATGCAGGGATTGCTGCACTGGTCTTGACTGGTGTGGCCCAAGCCGTCGGTCGTCGAGTTGGGCGGACACGATTGGCACGAGTGGTCGCGTTGCTCGACATCCATGTAAGTGCCTTTAGGACAGGGCACACACTCGTCAACCGTCACGTTCAGGTAGTGGCCAACTGAACAGATCTCTGCAATTTATACATATAATTATCAATCAATATTGTTGTGTCATTCGTACGAATAATTAGCGATTTTCATACCGAGATTGCATTGCGTTGGAGTGGAGGCGCCCATTGAGCCGGTGGTAAATCCCTGAGGACAGGGTTCGCACGATGGCTGACCTCTGGTTCGGTAGTGACCGATAGGACAGGCCTCGCAATTGCCGTTCGAAGACAGTTGGAAACCGGCCATACATTCAGCTATAAATGCAATTATAAGTTTAGTACCAATTCAGACATCAATGGCTTGAAAAATATATCTCACGTCTGCACTCGTGGCGAGCGATGGCCTCTTGGCTTCTGGTGGTGAGTCCAGTGCCACAAGATATACAAGTAAACGATCCTTCGGCGGGTTGATAGTGACCGTAACCGCAGGGCCGGCACGAGTTGTGGGCCGTATCGAAATACGTGCCCGCATTGCAGCGCTCGCGGCAGTCTTCGGCGGCGCGGGAACCGGCAGTGATGGTAACGCCCTGTCGTTCGCCAATGAGCGCACACTTCTTGCAGGCCAACTGTCCCAACTCGTTCTGATAGGTGCCGATCGGACATTTGGCGCACGACTGCGTGGGCTCGTCATAGTAGGTGCCGACACCGCACTCCACACAACTGTCGGCCATCACGACCTGTCCGGGCGGACACGCGTACTCTGTGATGAGGCGCAGGGATCGCAGGTCGGGACTGACGTTGGGAAGTGTGTCCCTCACGTCAAATATGGCACTTTCGACGACCGCTCGCCGTATGATTGACTCGAGACTATCCTTTTCCTGCGAATTGACGTTTACTATGGGATCGATGTTTGCGGGGAAACCGATTTCCACGGAATACACGTCCATATCGTCCTGCGATTGTTCGCCCGACGGCTGTCTCTTAGACCGACGCGAAATGTTCTGCTGTTTAGTGCACTTGACGTTAACGCCGAGTCCCTTACAGGCGCCGCGCGACTGATCCGAGCATATCTTCCACGTCCTGTCAATGCGGAGGAGGCTTTCGGTGACCCGAGAGGTCAGTATCTTTTTGCCGGAATCGCTGCAAACGACAGACGACGGGATGTTAATCACCAAACGGAAGATGCGTTGAGCCAAGTGTTTGGGCGCACACGAGGGGAACACAAGGGGTTTGTCGGTGTCGTCGTTGGGGCGCCAGAAGCCTTCGGCGCCGCACACGTAGAACTTTGGTATGGGTTGCGAGAACTGCAGGCCTTGATTGCATTTAATGCGGCAAACCTTAAACCTGCCGCCGGGGCCCCAGTCGGAGCACTCACGCTCGCCGCCCACCGGCGCCGGTGGCACTCGACAGAACTCGCGCACCACATGCACCTGGAAGTCGCATCGGGCAGAGTTGCCGCTCTAACCTTAAACCTGCCGCCGGGGCCCCAGTCGGAGCACTCACGCTCGCCGCCCACCGGCGCCGGTGGCACTCGACAGAACTCGCGCACCACATGCACCTGGAAGTCGCATCGGGCAGAGTTGCCGCTCTCGTCCACCGCTATGTAGCTCAGATCGTAAGTGCCCTTCTTCAGCGACTCGCCCGACCGGATCTTCTCCAACTCCAGCACCTGTACTGAGCGCAGATCGTCGGCGAACTGGGGTTCGTCCCAATGCACGACCGTTGAGCTGTTCTCCGATATGATCCACATGTCTGGCGGGCAGTGGAGGACAGAGGGAGGGGTCTTATCCTGTTGGAGGATACGGCAGTCGTCGCC